ATATATGAAAAACAGGATGATGTGTCCTTCTGTTTAGTCGCAGTCTCCTTTAGCTTTATAGTTGTAGTTAGATCGCGTTTTCGCAACTTACTCGAAGCGTCAGGGAGACCTTGTGGAAAGTAACTAGTCCTGTGTCATCTGCCATAGTATTCGTGATTACCAGCATCAGATCATCGACTTGATATATTTTCAAACGTTTCGCCGATATCTAGGGCGGTATTGTCGATGAGAAGCGCCATCGTCAGCACGGAGTTATAACTTATCAAAGCGACAAGTGAAGGCAATCCCCTTGACCAATTTTTTGTTCAACCGTTGTGGCGTATCATTCCTGGCCCCTATTTTTCGCTCTAACTTCTAATGCTTGATCCCATTCTCTCAACCCCACTTCATATGACCCAACTACCAATTCACATAATTCTGTGCTTTCGTTTTCTCCAGTGTCGCCTAAGAATGTGTCGCCTAAGAATGTGTCGCTACAAATAGGTTTAAAAAGGAATAATAATCTTCACCACTAGAACGAGGTGCCGCTTGCAAGGATCCTAGCCATCATTCCGCCTCCCCTTTCCCCTACCCAGCTTGTAAATTGGCCGATTCTAATATCAAAATCACTGTCTGACTGTCTGAAATCTGGTTGCCTAAGAGCCTTCACTTCTCGTCCCCGATAACGCCCTATTCGGGGATTAAGAGCATATGGTATCCGTGTCCATGCTCACGTCCAAGTACGAATGTTCCATTTCCATAGTATCGGCCGCAGCTTTCGAGCTAATTCGAGGGAGGTTAGACATATCCGTCGTTTTCCCTGTTTCCTTTGCTTTTATTTCATAATTTCCGTCTATCAGTATGTCACATTGTGTTGCTTCTTCTGGATATCCGCTGCCAAGAAACTTCTGTGTTAGTTTTCCCACTTCCTCTTTCCAGAACTCAAAGCAATAAGTCATAAGTTTCTTACGATCATACGCCGAAGTATTCAAATCTTCAAGAGAAACAGAGGAAAACTAGAGATATGTCTACCTCCGTGAAAATTTGCCCGGAAGCTAAGGCCGATACTATAGAAATGGAACATTCGTACAATTTTGAAGTAAAGGGTAACTCTGTTCATCAACTTACATACCCAACGTGAAGAAGTCAATAAAATGAAGTGCTCCAGAGTTTACAGCATATAAACAAAAATGTATAGAAGAGGCAGGAAGAACACTCAGCACAAGGATCAAAGAACACCAACGACTATGTAGAAAATGGATGGCTGAAAAAATCGTCCTTACCTACCACACAATTGACTCGGGTGTAACGGAAAGACTGGCCTCATGTATGGAGAAAAGAGGAAAACGGAAGATCGGGGAGGCTGTGGACATGCTTTTTCAAAGAAACTTGATGAGCAGGAAGTTACAAGAGGGAAGAGTCAGCGATAATTTCGCGTACTACCTGGGCAGATTAGGAGATTCAGCATATATAGAAAAGAAGGCACTTGGACCCAGGATAGCCGTTTAAGAACAGTACAAGATATCGTCCAGGAGATGCTTATGAAGGCCAAAGTTACCTGGGGGTCCGCCTGTGAGATGAGGGCTAGGAAATTAAAGGCTAGAGGTCTAGGTTGGGCAGATATAGGCCACCGGTTTATGTGCGTGTGTTCTTTTGTGCATTTTTCGTCTTTGTATCTTAATGGTAGATGACTGGTGAGATGCTTAACCATGGAGGATACCAACTAAAACACACATGACAATCCTAGTCAAATTTTCCCACAATGCAAGGCTATGTGAAATTAATGGAGACGTCAGCTCTACTCATATCATTATGGGAAAATTCTACTACCAGTCCTTCATCCCCTTACACGAAATTGGGTCAATACATCTCATATTATTGATTTACTGGTAGTCCCGAAACTCTACTTATATACGAAAAATTATATAGGTGTCAACTTTAAAGAAGAAGGGAGTGTGTTTTCCGCGATTCAGAAAGAAAAAAAAGAAACGTTACATGTTCACACCAGCGGTTATGAATTAAACCGGACAGAGGGCCCTAAAGAATGAGATACAATGTAGATATGGATGATAAAAGAGATAACTGAGTAATGTGTTTGAAGCTCAGGGAGAGGAAGATTCCCAGGCATTTGCATAGGCATGGACATGGGCACTATATGCTTTAATACCTCGAATATGGCATGATCGGGGACGGGAACTGAAGGCCATAAGGGGATAATTATGCATAAGAAATATTATTTTAAGCCGATCCAGTTCATTGTCACAATGGTCTCTATCGGCTAGTCTTATGCTCCGAATAATCATAGATTTTGAAACTCCAACCTTTGTTTTGGCTTCTCTAACTTTAAGTTTACCTGTAGACATACAATAATCATCAAAACGAGAAGTTTTACATCATTCAACCTCGTGTCCCGTTTCTATACTATGCTCAATCAACTCAGATTTTTGTATCCAGCATACTTTTCAGGCGCTTTTGTGCTCAGCCACTCTTAATCGAATGGGACGGCAAGTCTCTGAGATATAAAAGCAACTACACTAACAAAGTGATCTATCCCCACACTTTTTCCGTTCAATGTTTAGTTTTTGTTAAATCCAATAAGTAGCGATTGTTCAACATCCTTTGGCGTAGAGATCACGTGAGTGCGTGACATATCTTGACTCTTTATTTCGCGTCACACAATCAAAGCTTGGCACCACATCGTCCAATCAGAAGTTGACATGTAAAACTAAGCAAGGGTATATCAAGTAGATAACATTCTTTTTAAGCCGGTTACGTTCTTTTCCTTCTCTTTCGACCCTCCGCTGTGAACCGCGGGGTTTATAACGTTATATTTGGCGCCATCTTTCAATGATTGTCTTTATATTGTCAGCTCCCCCATACTGTATTCGGCCGTCTCAAAATAGGACAATTGGTAACACTATTTGTACCTTTTCTCTCTTCGTTTCAGGGTCTGCATCTTTGGAGTTGTAGAGGGCAAGTGTCTTAGATTTTAGAGATAATCTATGTCCTTCTTAGGAACAGAACAAACACATGTTGTAACAACTCGATCTGGATAATGGGTCAACT